CTCAGGAATCTGTGTTCTGCCAAAACAAAGAAAACTAAGAGAGAAAGACATGGAATCCAGGAAAAAGGAAATTCCATACAAGAAGTAGAAAGAAAATCCCCAAGATGATGGTGAAAGGAGACCCGCAAACAAGAGCTAAGCTTCAGACATCCAGATGTGGAAAGTGAAAGGCTCATGAGAGACTTTTTTTAGGAGGATGACATTGATGCTTAACGTACATGCATGTACTGAAAGAAGATTTGCATAACTGGGGAAGTAAATAAAAGAACTACAAATACATAGGAAGCTAAGAATGGACAACAATAGCATTACCTAAAAATTAAAAAAAAGAAACAAGGAAACCCAAACTTGTTAAGGAAAAGTAATAACAGTACCCAATATGACTGAGCAAGGTCTCGTGTTTATATAGTCTTAATACTATACACGCTGTAGTGATAATACAAAATTATGATGAAACTCTGTTGAGAAAAAAGGGAAAGAGTGAGGTTGTATGTGTAAGCTGGGGATAGAGGCAGTGAAACAAAGCTAAATTGTAATTTTCCATAGTAGGAAGTCAGTATGTAATGCGTAAAATTGAAAAATTAAGCTTGTTTGCTTGTTTGTTTGTTTTTAGATTGGTGGAAGTATGGAGGCAAATATGCTAAGAATCAGTTAAAAGAGCTAAAAGTGGCTACCTCTAGGCAACAGAAATTGGAAAGAGGTAGTCAGAGTTCTGCTTTTTTACTGTAATAAGGCTTGTACAACAATTTGACTCTCTAAATTATGATCATGTGTAACTGTGATAAGAAATTAGCACTGAATTAAAAAATAAACATTGCCCCCCAAATTAGAGCACAATGAAATTAAATGACACTTGCTCATGATCAGTATTATTATGTAACAAACATCCTTATATCCTCAAATATTGATCTCTGACAAAATCTCTGACGATTTATTTTACATAAACATCTAGAGGTAGAACTCCTTTGTTTAAAAAAGTCTATGAACTCTTTAAAGCCTCTTTGTATATATTCCCAAACTATATTCCAGAAAAATTGTATCAAAATACTCTCACAGCAGCCATAGAGGAGAGTAACTCTCTCAACATACTCTCATCAGCATTAAGTATTAATTTTCAATCAATTTTGTTAGTTAGTATAAAGAAAATATAATTTAATTGGCTTATCAAAAGGAAAATTAGATTCTGTTCATATGAATAGCTGCCTAATGGTTAAAATTTTTAGTGACTTCCTGAAGGCATAGCATAGAAGTTAGCCATTAATATCCATCTTTGGGGCTTTGTCTTTGATTAGGATATTTGGAAGAAAATGTGCCATCACACGAGTTATGTGATACAGACTTTATTATACTTGGTGTCATAAAAATAAGCTTTATTCTGAGCTGAAGGAAATTAATGATCTTAGACTTTAAACATGGCCTTTCATTTTAGAAGTAGTTGTGTATTTTATGACTATCTTAAGTTTATGCAATGCTTCTCTCTGGAAAATATTTGTTCAATATTCACTTAACAAACATTGATTAAGTGTATACAGTGTTCTAGAATGTACTAAGTGCTGGGACACAATGGTAAACAAAACAGTTTTTGCCCTAAAATCTCAATCCTTGTGTAGGATTTACATAACAGCCTCAGAAAGTCAAGGTAATCTCAGCAATTGAGGGAGAAAATTATTTCTGAAAATATAAATGTCTCTATAGTATGAGAAATAGAGGTGAATAACTTGACTTCCTGGTTGCCAGCCAAGAGTTCAGTCAACTTAGAAATCGCAGCACCTAAGAATATTTAAACAAATCACGTTCAGGAGTAGCATATGATTACAATTAAATGTATGGTATGCACATGTGACTCAGATGTCACGTGGTCTCTATTCAGTTTATAAAAATGGATAGAGAAATCCATCTTCATGTGAAGTATATAGAATGTCCACAAACTCTGTTTCATCTTTATACATTCTCTGTAACTTAATTTTTTGTCAGAAGAGAGATTTGATCCTAGTTCAGAAAACACAAAATACTGTTACATGGTCGTTTCTGTCTTTGAATTGCATTGTCAATGACACTTTAAAAGAAATGAGACCTGACACATACTTTAAAATGTCAACATTGAATTATATCACCATAGTAAGAAGGAAAAACCTCACACAATTTTCACCCACCAGATGTAGACCATCCTGTTGCTCTGCTTCTCAGCCTTAGTGACAGTTTCCCACTTGTACAAAAGCTATTTCTGTGACAGAAACATGCCTTCTCTTTATTAGTCAGATCTGGAGTTATAACTCTCATCAAGAGAAAAACAAAAACAAAACAAAACAAAAAAAAACCACACTGCTTAGGAGCCATAAGACAGACAGATAAAATCATTTTCATCCTCTACTCTCCCCACAGCACTGTGAGAACTTGGTTTCGCTTTTGAAAAGTGGCTTAATGATTAGAATGGAGTCAGGGTGTATTTGCAGAAAGACAGATTAATAGGTCACATTACGACAGTAGTTGGATAGAGTTATAAACGTCAGGGAGCATAACTCTCCTGTCCCAATGCTAGCGAGTAGCAAGTTAAGGAATCATTATCTGAATGTCTCTATTATCAAGGGGCCATGGCTCTCAACATGCTTCAATAAAACAAACTCATAAACATATCCTTCTATTTTTCTAATCATTTCCCTATTTTTTTGCTTCTTTATGTGTAGCACTGAATAGTTTCGGTAAGTCAGACAGATGTGAGTTTCAGCCTTGATGACACTTAATTAACTATGTTAACTTGGGCTTAAACTCTGAAAAGCTCAGATCCCTCACCTGTAAAAAGAGTGAAATGCTCTCAAAAGGTAGAACAAAACTCCCCACTCCTTAAGTGTGGGCTGTGCATAATGACTTCCTTCTAAAGAATGAAGTACGGAAAAGAAGAAAAACAAATAACTTTACAGTGGAGCAATCTGACAAGCTCTCCCTCAAGGTTGATACCAACAGTGATGAGTCATATTGATAGTACCTACCGTTGATATCCTGTGCTGAGCATGGCACTTTTCCTCTGTGGTCTTCCTCCCCCAAAACCCATAACCCCTCTAATTATGAGGAAAATCATCAGAAAAACCTAAACTGAAGGGCATTCTACGAAATGCCCTGACCACTACTTCCAAGAAGGTAGAAATGGCACCTTTCCTCATGAATATTTTTAGTTATTACATATTATTTGATGATTATATATTTTCAAAATATACATTCCCACCCTACTGACTTCAGGCTTGGCCATTTGACTTGCTTTGACAAATGAAGTGTGAGCAGAGATGAAGTGTGTCCCTCTGAGCTTCTGTCTTGTGATTTTGGTATGCTGTTTTCCCTCTGAAACCTCCATTAAGGCCTCGCAGTCTACCGGCCCACATCCTAAGTGAAGACAATGAGCCGCCCAGCAGCAGTGTTACTGTGGCAGGAGAGGAAAATGTCATGTCCTGGGACCCACAGGAACCCTTAGGACAGACCACAAGTGAAGCTTCTTGGTTTTGTGCAGAAAAGAATTCAAGAGCGAGCCAAAGAAAAGCAAAAGCAAGTTTATTTCGAGAGATACGCACTCCATAGGCAGAATGCAGACTGTCTCAGAAAGTGAAAGTGGCCTCAGGGCAGGGGATTGTCAGTTTTTAAGGGCTGAGTGATTTCACATGCTAACAAGTGGGAGGAATATCCTTGCTATTTTGGGGAAAGGTGGGGATTTTCCAGGAATTGGGCCACCACCCACCTTTTTGGCCTTTTATGGTCTGTCTTGGAACTGTTGGTGGGGGGGTGGGTAAGGGGGAGTGATTTTTAGTATTACATTGAAGGTATAATGAGGTAAAAATCAATGACCAGACTGTTCTCGAAGCCATATTGGTTTCAGCTGGTTCCAGCCAGTTTTTATCGCATCCTAACAGCTGTGCCCCTTCTTCATTTATCTGGTGGTTGGGTCCTGCCCCTTCCCTTCCTGTCTCATTACCAAGCAAAGGGCTTGTTGCCTGACACACGTAGAAGCAAATACTATGGCACCGGCTTTTGAGAAAAGAAAAAACTTTATTGTGAGGACAACCAGCAAGGAGACAGGAGGTACAGTTCAATTTTGTCAAACTGGGGTTCAGTCAAACTTTTATGAGTTAGGGGAGGAGGGTTGGTATGCAGAAGAACTGGCGGGACTTTGGAACTTGGCCATTTGCAGTAAGGTACGGTAAAGGGGCTTCAGTCTGGACCCTCCGCTTCTGAAAGTGTTCCAGCGTTCAGGTTCCAGTCACGTCCGAGCCTTTGGTTCCATGGGGGGAGAAACTGTGGTTCTGGGTGTTTGTTGAGGTCAAGATCTTCTCCTCTGCACATGCTTTGGGTTTTGTTCTGTTGTCTCTGAAAAACAGCTCAGTATCTTGTTAGAAACAAGATAGGGCCAGTTTGGGGCTGGTTCTGTGGTTACGGCGGTTGACCTATGAGAGACATGTAGTATATGAGAGAAAGAAATGTTATGAGTTATTGAGATGTTGGAGTCATCTTATGACAGCAAAACTGAGCTTAAGCTGAGGACCTAGCTCTACTCAAGTAATTGAAGTTCATACCTTTTCCCCTTCTCTCCCTTTCTTCCTCCATGTTCCCTCCTGTCTCCTCCGCTTCTTCTTCTACCAACTTCTTTTCATGACACATTAATTACACATTAATTTCTGAGCTTCTCCTTCCTCTAGTAACTACTTTTGGACTTGAGCATTCCAGCTTCTCTTCTTAAATTTGCTTTTAGCTATTTCTGTTGCTTTCATTTTTCTGGTGTTTACAACCAGAGGCACCAGTGAATGATTGGAGCTCAGATAAAATTCCCTCTGCTACTCACCTGCCTTGCCCTTTATTCTCCCCACATTGGTGTCCAGATGAAATCAGATTAAAATTAACATCCAGAAACTATTTGGATGGAAAAAGAAACTACCACAAGGGAAATTAGGCGTATTTTTAAAGAGGTTAGGAGCTGCTTATAACCATATAAGTCTAATACATTCTTTTTTTTCTTTTAGCATCAGCTACCTCCTGAATCACTGCCCAGTTGCCAGCTGCAAGTCCTAGTTCCAAAGTAAGTCTAGCCAAGTCTAAAATTCTAGTTGACTCATCCAACCTTCATGTTCACCCAGGACTTACTTAAGCATCCAAAATAACTTAAAATTTTAGATTCTATCTTCCTAAGATATCTGCATCTGGTAAATGATGCAAAGGCTAAATGGGCAGAAAAGACTCCTCTTAATCATGTCTAAGTTCAATTTCACATGCATGCAACTTATATGGGGAAAAATATCATTAGATTCACCCAACCTTCACAAAATTAAACTGTCAAATCAACTATCTTTTCAGGAAGCAAATGTCCACAGCACAAAGCCAGAAGACTCTGAAAGGGTAGTGTTGCCAGATAATAGCAGAAGGAGCTGCTATTCTGAAGTCAGGCACAGTTCACATTAGCTTCCGGATTAATGTCACTGGCACAGAGAGCAAGCTCACTGCCATCAGGTAAGCACACACACAACTTTTTCTAGTCCTGTAAAAAAGAGTAAGGGGGTTGATTTTCCTCCTCAACTTCTATCTTAGAATTCATATTGTCCTCTGTGGAGTTCATTTATCTCTCTCATCTGAAGATGTAGGATATGTCTACTCAGGTGGGTGCTCTGAGCATCTAGGAGCCAAATTTGAGGAGAAAGCCAGTCTGCAAAATAGTTGGTTGTTCAGGAGTAGCCTGTGTACTGCCTCCATGAAAAATCCTGTTGGTGCTACTGTGCTGGGGGTTTAAAAGAATGTGTAGCACAGGGGTGGGGTGTTAGGATACATTTTTCTTGTACAAAAACTCAAATGTATAGTTCAGAAAGAAAGAAAATAGTCTGGTTCATTTTGCCACACAAATGGCATCTAGACAAAATTTGGATCAATTGGATTCCAAATCCTATTAAGATATGATGGTAATTGAGATTCTATAGCTTTTACAAAGCTGATTAGGCGATTTTCACAATGTATAAGAATCTCTGCAGAATTTCCACTACTGTTTCCACTCCTTTCCAGACTAAGAAAGGAGGAGGAAAGAGGAGAGTGATGGTTGGGGCAATCATTTAATGCCCTGGAAGACATTTAATTGCCTTACAGGTTTTATTTCTTTCGGCAAACTGGTCTTTGATTTTTCTGAGCTCACTATGGAAAACTTTGCTGGTCATCAAATTTCTGTTTTTTCTTATTCTTTGCTCAGTTGTTTTTGTTTGTGTGTGTTTTTAAAGATTGTTTTATAATCTACTTTAAATCTTATTTTTAAGTTTCATTATGGGAACAAGAGCCAATTTGCTAAATTCTTTATACCTTTTTCATGTACAATGTTCATAACACTGTCTTATATGGATTTTTTAAAATATATTTTTGAGCACAGCTTATACTGTCTACTTGAAGACAGAACAGGAAAGTCACATATTAAATATTTTGATCACCATATACAATTGCTAGGAAGAAAAAATCAATAGAAACCATTAAAAGTATGTCAAAGATAGTAAAAAAAAAAATTACCAATCAAACAGATGGTTATCATCTTGACAGCTTGACACAGAGGTTAAGCCCAGAAAGTACAGCATTTGAATTCATGAAAGAAAGGAATGCACCCTTAAAAATATCAAGAGGTAGAACCCAATACTTTTCAGAATATATTGTTTTGTGTCTTTTTAGGACTTGATGTAAGGCACTGATGAGGTCTAAATTAAACATAATGAATTGCTAATGTGTGTACTCGTGGCTAGGTCATTCATAGAAAACTTGATTATTTGGAAAACTTCAATATTCAAAGATTAGCATATTATATTAAATATGGGGCATGGACAGAAACCAGTGACCCAGGTGAGTTGCTAAATATAAAATTCCCTGGAGTGATTCTAGCTTCTTTGAATGGTTCTCAGTCTGTGGTTAGACAAGATCTTTGAATTGAAGGAGAATGGAAAAATAGCCTGAGATTTGGGGGACATAGTGAATGCATTTTTTCTTGGAATGTGCACTAGATTGCTTGAGTATATTATTTACTTCCTTGCATACAAAGTTTAGATGTTCCATGTATTTGGGTTTACTTGATAAGTAACATAACATGCATATAATAAAGAAATAATAAATACTAATATAAATACATAGAGAAAAATGTATTCCAGACATTTGTATTAGACAATGGCATTAGTCACATCATAAGACTAACCTGTAAATTTAAGTTAAATGTACATATTTTTGTTAATAACTTGTGTCAGTGTTGAATTCTCTTCCCCAACCTCCTCTAACCCCCCTCCAAAAAAAAAAAAAAGAGAAAGAGAAAAGAAAAAATTCAGGACTTTTTATCAACTCTACCAGTATCCCGAAGAAATACTTATTTTAACTTAATCATTCTATCACTCATTTCATTGGAGTAGTGACCCCTCAGCTTTTCATTCCAGGAGCTACATTCTACTCATCCATGATGATATTAGTATCCTCTTGATGGAATAAAAAGTAATTGGCTCGTTTGCGCCTTGGCTTTTGTGCTTCCTCCACCTGGAGTGTCATGGCTCTAAATTTAGTAAATGTTATTCCTTTAAAGCCTAGGTCAGTGGTGTCTCCTTCTTGAAGATTTTGCTGTACAAAGTAGGAAGTTAATAATTCATCTGTTTATTTATATTTATTAAAATGTTGTGGTCAAATATGTAAATATTTCAACCATTTTTTTTCCTTTACAAAATTTATTTCATAGTCTAGCTGGTGGTATTGGATTTAAAATTAGCAGGGAATTTCAAATATTTGAATTAAAGCTTCATACTGCCCCTACTAGTTATCAGTTAAAGAGAAAATTCTAGGCTTTTGTATTCCAGTAACGGTTATTTTTTGTTTTTGCTTTTTGTCTCAGTTTTCTTTCTTTTCTTTCCCAGTACTTTGTGCAGCAGAGTTGGCTTATCTTCGTGTGTACCTTATTTTATCATAATTGCTATTTTCTAATCATTCATCCATCTCATGCAAAATTAGTTCATTAATGTATTATAATCATATCTGAGAGCATGTCATATCCAGGAACTGTTCTTATACTCCTTAATTACAGCTCATTTTTTAAACAATGGAAGGAAGCATTTTTACTAAGAGAACTTCGGCTTTTGAGGGTTCTTTTGTTTTGTTTTACATTTAAGACAAACTCTTCTTTTGATTGAAGTATAATTGATATACAATGCTGTGTTAGTTTCAGGTATATAGCAAAGTGATTTAATTATATATATATAATATTTTTTTAGATTATTTTCCATTATAAGTTATTATAAGATATTGAATATTGTTCCCTGTGCTAGGTAGTAAATCCTGTTGCTTATCTGTTTTATGTATAGTACTTTGTATTTGTTAATCTCATACTCCAAATTTATCCCTCTCCCCCTTCTCTTTCCCCTTTGGTAACCATAAGTTCATTTTCTATGTCTATGAGTCTATTTCTGTCTTATATATAGATTCATTTGTATTATCTTTTAGCTTCCACATATAAGTGATATCATATAATATTTGTCTTTCTCTATCTGACTTACTTCACTTGGTGTGATATTTTCTAGGTCTAACCATGTTGCTACAAATGGCAATATTTCATCTTTTTTATGGCTGAGTAGTATTCCATTGTATATATTTACCACATCTTAAACCCATTGTCTGTTGATGGGCACTTGGGTTGTTTCCATATATTGGCTATTAGGAATAGTGCTGCTATGAACATTGGGGGGCATGTATCTTTTTGAATTATGGTTTTCTCTGGATAATGCCCAGGAGTGGTATTGCTGGATCATATGGTAACTCTATTTTAAGTTTTTAAGGACCCTCCATACTGTTCTCCATGGTGGCTGCACCAATTTTAATTCCCACCAACAGTGTAGGAGGGTTCCCTTTTCTCCACACCCTCTGTAGCATTTATTATTAGAAGACTTTTTGATGATAGCCATTCTGACAGATGTGAGGCAATACCTCACTGTGGTTTTGATTTGCATTCTTCTAATAATTAGCAGTGTTGAATCTTTTCATGTGCCTCTTGGCCGTCTTCTTTGGAGAGATGTCTATTTAGGTCTTTTGCCCATTCTTTGATTGGGCTGTTTGCTTTCTGTTATTGAGTTGTATGAGCTGTTTGTATATTTTGGATATTAACCCCTTGTTGGTCACATCATTTGCAAATATTTTCTCCCATTCTGTAGGCTGTCTTTTCATTTTGTTGATGGTTTTTTTTGCTGTGCAAAAGCTTTTATTATTTATTTTTGCTTTTATTTCTTTCTCCTTGGGAGACTGATCTAAGAAAATATTGCTATGATTTATGTCCTAGAATGTTTTGCCTGTGTTCTCTTCTAGGAGTTTTATGGTGTCATGTCTTATATTTAGGTCTTTAAACCATTTTGAGTTTATTTTTGTATATGGTGTGAAGGAGTGTTCTACTTTCATTGATTTACATGTATCTGTAAGACAAACTCTTTTAATGTTTTTCTTATCATTTTGATCATTACTGTTACTTCTTATACAATTTTATTTTTATAAATAAGTTGCCTGAGATGGTGAGTTTGGCTTCCTGTGAACCATTTATGCTTACTTTCTGGTTTGTATTAAGGTTACCAGACAAGTAATTGCAAATTAGCAAGGTATTAGCACATTAAATGTGAAATGAGGTTTTTAAAAAGTGTATGTCAGTGGATGGCATCTGAATTTCTCTTAGGGAGACAAATGTTTTTGAAAAGGAAACTGCCTGTTAGTGTGGAAGATAAGGATGGAGGATTATAGTTTGGAAGGAAATGTATGAAAGTATTAGCTAAATTGTTCATCATGGAAATTTATCACAAATATGGGGGTTTCAATGAGGGAGAGAAAGATGACAGAGGTATTAGACAGAAAAAGTGCTCAGATTATATGGCAGAAGAGAGCAAGTTGGTGAATAATTTCTGCTAACAGGGCTATGGAAAGAGTCTTAAGAAAAGAATTGTCTAATGCTCTGTTTTAAACTGTTTTCTGTGTAGTTTTGTGCTGTAACTCCCCTCTTCCATTGCCTTAAAAGAGAGGTGTTATCTATACAAATTGACATAATTTTGGAATCAAAGAAAATCTTTGCCCCTCCCTATTTTTGTGTAAGACAGAGCAAAAAGAATAATCATTGGGGATGAAATAACAGTGAGACCCAGAGTTCAGCTAGAATAGAAAATGAGAACTACGGGTGTCCAGGAAAATACCAGTTAATAGATAACTCTCTGAAAACACCAGTTAATAGAAAACACCAGTTAATAGAGAACTCTCTGAAGGTGGGGTGGTGGGGAAAGGTGGTGAGTTTTCTACTTCCTAAAAGGATAGAAATGTTGTCAATTTTATTTTAATCTTAAAAAAATAAAAGCAAGATTAATTGTGTTGACATTTGGGATACACCTATAAATGATAAATACCAAACCTATGAAAATTATTTTTCTAATTTTTATAGAAGATGTTGCTATCAATGCAAATAGGTTTTCTTTGCCATCTGATTATGTCTTATTTCTTATGTCCTTTGTGTGTGGATTGTAAGAAAATCATTATCTTCATTTTCAAAGTGCAGACCTCAGAACATGAAGAGTGTTAAGTGACTTTGAAGGCCAGTCTGTAAGTTAGAAGTGGAATGAAACAGAATCAAAAACCCACATGGCTCAGGTTAAATTTATGATCTGTAAATACTGTGATGAAAATAGTTAATACTTGGCACTTTACTACCTATGTGATACTGGGCATTTGTCTCAGGAATGGCATCCTTCACGTTTTTTTATAAAAAAGTAAACATAATATTGAATAGTTTTGAGGATTAAATGATATAACATATGCAAAGCACAGTGCCTGAAACCAAATAAGCATTCAATGAGTGCTAACATTATTTATTAGTTTGTTCTTTCAATTATTGTTTGGAAAATAAAGATTAATATTAATAAAATTATTCACACTCCTTTCAATTCCTATCATTCCAGAAAGCATTGTTTATAAACATTTAAGAAGTTTTGGAACAGAATTTTAAAGCATTCTGGCTTTTCAGCCTACATCAATTTCAATCTCGTGGACACTACAAATTTATATTAATTGTATAAGGTCTAAAAAGAATCTCAAGTGACCCAGGGGCATTCAGATACCTCAAATCCTCCTGTTGGTTGATTATCATCCTGGGACCAACTCAGCCTGGGCTCAGGTGTAATCTTCCACAAATGCCTCACAAACTGAAAATTCCATAAAAGGAGCCATAGCAGCTGATGGTACAAGAGCCACAGTCAGAGTCTATATGTCAAATTATAATGCTGCCACCCTTCCTTATTCCAGAAGAAAATTTCTTTATCATTA